CAATTTGGCTTCGACAAGCTTAATTGTTCTTACCTGTATGGGGACATATAGCAAAATCAAATGCTTTAGGAGTTGTGTATAGTATAACCAGGGCGCAAACATTTTAATTAAAAAAAACGCTTAATCAAAGGAGACGAGTCAAAGATTTAAGTTTGTCTATAGATTTGAGGTTATAGTCACAATCATTCGTTATGTTTTCACCCGTGTATGTTGATTTTATGCAAAACACATGAATGGATTTCCACAAAACTTGGTGGAAAGATTAAACAAATGTGTCAAGAAAGAACCCATTAGATTTTAGCATGGATCCAGATTTTTTTGACAATTTCCATGGGAATTATTTAGGGACAGGCACATTTAGGAAGCTGATATCTACGATTGTAGCTTGATTGAATTTAAGGGGACAGTTGGGCCTTGGCGGAGACATGTGAGGCCTATTCTTTTAAACATTCTTCTCATTTCAAGATGACATGGACACTACTTACCATGATTTTAAAACTTGGATTGTGATTTGGAAATCTACAGCAGCAAATTCCAGGTGGTTTTTAGCATTTTGAAAAAACAAAACAACCTTTCCTCTCATCAGGCATTGAAGATTACATCGCCTGAAGTCAACTGAGAAATTCCTGCACTCTTAACAGCTTAACAGTGAAAACTCACCAGAACAATCATTAGTGATAAAGATCAGGTTTCATATTAGTGGTAATTTTATGATGGAGAAATACTGACTGTGACATTTAAGAGTGTTGGTGAGTTACACACACAGAGACACAGAGAGACACACACACACACACACACAGAGGTAAAACTGTATGTGAAGTAATACGTGAAGGCTTTGGGAATGTTTGGCAGAGGCACTACCAAGAAATGTATCCCCCAGTTGGTCCTACACCTGCTCTGAGTTATCTTATCTCTGTGCAGTGACAGAATGTTTTCATGACAAGTACAAATTTGTCTTACAAACATAATTCTATTTTCTCCATGAGAGCTTTATATGTCCGTGTATTGATCAGAATGAATCTGGTCTGTGGTTCACCTGGCTCTCCAGCTGCATCTGTCCGGTGACGGTGTTCGCCATCCTCTCCTGCTGCTGTTTCTGCTCCCTCAGGCTGCTCTGCTCCACCTGCAGAGAGCTCTCCAGAGCCTCCAGCTCATCCTGCAACACAACACAAACACATCTGCGTCAGCCTCATACACATGAATCTGCCGAGTCGCAGAAAACACTTCACTAAAAATCCAGCAGCAGCTTCTACACATCAGCTGATAAATAACAAGGAACTAAAGAACATCCGTCTGAGATATATTTAAGGTAATGTAGCATGTAGGTAGTTAAAATCTTTTTAAAATCAATGTCTTGAACATCTGGACAAATATTTAAGACTGCAAGTGACTATTATTTCAACCATGACTTAATCTGGCAATTTTCTGAAATAAATAGTTGGAAAATAAAATGTCAGAAAATAGTAAATAATTTTCTAACTCCTGGGATGAGGTCTTCAAATCCCCTGTTTTGTCCAAACAACTTTAATTTCAGTTCATCATTAAATAAGACAAAGAAAAGCAGCAAATTCTCACATCTGAGAAGCTGACAAAAGGTTCCAGATTATCATGATGGTTGCAGATTAATCTTCTGTTTATGAATCTGACAGAAATACCAACCACATCCAAGTGCTCCCATTCGTTAACGGCTGGATTTGAGCTTGACTCTGTGTCTTTCCCCTCGTTCAGCTCGTCCTCTTCATCTTGTTTGTCCTCGTCTGATTTCAGAACAGCAGCTGGAGCCTCTGTCGAACGTTCCTCCTCTGGTTCTATCTTCTTGGTCTCATCTTCCTGGACTTCAGCCGGACGCTCTATCTCTTGAATTTCCACAAGCGAATCATCTTCATCCTCCTCTTTAGATTCCTCTTCTGAGACCTCCACGAAGCTCTCTGAGAAAACACAGAGCACAGCACTTGTTAAAAATCCTCTTTTTCTAAGAAACGATGAACGAGTGTGATCCTTCTGATGCTTACCTTCTGACTCGCTCTCCTCGCCGCCCTCAGTGGACATGTTTCTTCTCTGCTCTGACAGAACAGGCTGAACTTCAGTCTCGCTCAGAGGTTTTTCACACCGCTGAGCAGAAAGATTGATGGATAATTCATTTTGACTGGAAACAGCGGCAACATGTGGTTGAACCAAAACATCTTTCTTAGTAATCAGTCTGTGCTCTGACTCAGTTCTCTCAAGCTCTACTTGTTTCTCTATCTGCCCTCCACTTCCTGTCATTACATCCTCTGTCAGCTCTCCGTCCTTCATCTCTTCTTCGGACCTCAGCTCTTTCCTCTGAGGTTTTTGCAGCACTGCGAGGTGAAGTGCTCTATTTCTCTGAGCAATCACGTCCTCCATCTCGTCTTCAGAACTACTAACTAACAAGCTATCGTTCACATGTGGACTTCTGCCCGTCGGGTTCTCCTGAGAGTTGGATTTTTCATTCTGTAAACACTTTGCATCAAGAGGTTCTGTCTCTTCCTCTGAGCTGTTGATCACCACTTGTGGCACAGAATGATGAATATTCGTCTGCAGGTTGACGGATACGTTTCTCTGTTCATCTCCACCGTCTTCCTCCTCAGCCAGAACTCTCTGGATTGCCAGCTGAGTACGTGGAGACACGCTGCCATCCTTCTTATCCACCTTCTCCTCATCTGAGCTGTCATTCATTGCGGACTGGATCGCCTGGAGTGTACGAGGAGAGGGTGGTGATGTGTCCCCCTGAGGTGGTTTTGATGCAGAGCGTTTGGAGTCTTCTTTGGAGGGACTTGACTTTTCCTCCTCTCCCTCACAAACAGGACGCCACAGGGGCTCAGGTCTGTCGGCTGCTCGTCTTTTGCAGCCTGACAGGGAGCTGCCAGACCAGGGTGCAGCGGCAGGTTGGCTCTCGGTGGCAGTTTTACTCTTTGTGGAGCCTGAGTAGGAGAAGTGTGTTAAATACATCAGTCAGACAAACAGCAATGAAAACAAAACCTTCCTGATGACCGCTTTCCCTTGAAACACTGAAAAACAGTTCTGGTCCACACATCATCGTATCTGCTTCACCTTTAATGAGGATATAGTGGGAATTGTCTTCTGAAACCAGTCGACGTGACTCCACGCTGTGACTCTGCCCGTCCTCTTGGCAGAGCTGTGGAGCGCTGCCGGCTGCCCGCTCGCTCATCTCTTTCTCCACACCCTCCAGACGCTGGTTGAGCTTGTTCCTCTGCAGCAGGCCGGTCAACTGGTACTGAGAAAAGTCCCCTGAACGCTGAGAAGGAGTGAAGAGACGTCAGTGTTGAGAGGAGTAGACGGGTGAGCGGCTGAGTTTGAGCAGAGAAGGAACGTTACCTCTGGAGGTTGGTGGTACAGGGTGCGGCGTCGTTTGGAAAACTCTTTCATGTCTTTGAGGATCTCGTGTTTCATTTCAGGAGGCAGGTTGGCAAACTCCTCTGAGTTGATGTCCACTGAGTTGGGGTCTCCATGCAGCTCACCCTAAAACAAAGTGAGCAGCTTCAAATCTGAACTATTATACAGAGTGTTCACGTAAAGAAAAACAAGAAACACAGTGACAGTGTGATTAATGAAGATTTTTTAACATAAAAAAAAATACAATTAATACAAAAATACCAGATGATAAAAAATCTCTCTCTCTCACCATCAACATTATTTTGTTTCCTCCAGCTCAAACACAAATGATTTAAACAATAATTATTTGATGAAACTGCTACACAACATGATGTTCTTGTGTATAATGTGATAAACTTACCTGATACATGTGACAACTGTCACTCTTCTCCCACTCTTTATCTTCATCCTCTTCTGAACTGCACAGGAAGGAGAGAAAAACAAATGACAAGGATTAAAGTACCAGTATAACAGGTACAATAAATAATAATGAATAATGCAATGCATTTTGATCTTTTTCCACAGTTAATGACGACTTGATTAAGTATTTCCATCAGTGAGCTCTGTCTTTAAAAAGGAACCTGAAATGGAAATCTATAAAAATCAAAATAATAATTACAATATTTATACATTTGTTTTGTCTCTTTTCTGTTTGACTCAGCAGATACTGAACTCGCATTATCCACAATAACACATGAATCGTAACCTTTGCCGGGCCTCTGATCCGCTTTCGTCCTTCTCCTCTGCAGGTGGCAGGGCTGGAAGAACATACATGTCGTCCACCTCATTTCTCTTCACACTGGAGAGGCTGGGCAGAGGATCTTGACTGTAGCCGGGGAGGAAACACAGAAGAGGGTTACTTCAGACGAAACCACTGAGATTACTGGAGAATTACGTTGTGTTTTCTTTGCCATCCCTCCACCTGTGCACTTCACCTGTGGACGTCACTGTCCCTCACCTGCGGTCTCCAAGTGCAGCTTTGATAGCTTGTCTCTTGAGGAACGTCTTGAGGAGTTTCTCATTGGTCTGTTTGGACTCTCGGGTCAACTCCTCCTTCCTCTGCCTCCTCAGAGCCTGTAGGAGAACCACAGTCAAACACAAGAACAGGTGGGAATAACAGGAAGAGCCTAAACCGTTGTTTATGTCCACATGGAATGTTTGTGTAGTTCTCCAGAAATCCCTGGACCTACCAGAGTCTGCCTCTTCAGCAGCGGTGCGTCCCCGTCAAACACAAAGACCGGCCGGATGCGAAAGAAGAGCAGCTTACAGACGCGGTGGAACAGAGTGAGGAGGTGAGCGTTCTGGACGCTGTTGCCGTCTCGGTCCCTCACCCCCTTCACGGCCTGGTTCAGCCATATGCTAATGTCTGGAGGTGTCTGATTAAGGTGAATGCTAAGTCTTAACAGAAGACAGTCAGGTACAACAATATACTGTATCTGACGGACAGACAACAAACTGTGGTAACGTTACTTAGGGATCATCAATATATTACTCGTTATGTCATGGAGTAAAGAGTGATTTAGGTTTATTTGGTTTCATTTATTATGGAGGGTAAAGAAAACAACATTTTGTACAATTCAGATGAAACACACCAGTGAAAACATCACTAGGTTATTTTATATTCAACTCCTGCCAATAGATCCCTTTCACCTAAATCCTACACACTGAACCTTTAAATGTTCTCATGTAGGGATCTTACTGTGAAAGCTACTATGTGAAGTATTTATTTTACATACACGTTTTAAAAGAGAATATTTGATGTTTTTTTTCAAGCAGCTGGGATCAAATGACTCCAACTCAACACCAGAAAATCAATAAGAACTAATTGATATTGGATGAAACATTTCTTATAGTTAACAGTAGCTGAAACTGAATGAATGCATCAGCAGGTGAGGATACCGACAGCGAGGATCTTCCCCTCCAGGGTCTCCGGGTTGACGGGTTTCCCTGAGCTCTCCAGCAGTCTCCACAGTCCGTGCACCCCCATGACGACAGCCACCCGACACTGTGTGGATTTCAAAACTCTGACGTCAACAAACTGAACTCAGTCGATCTCACGGTTTTCATCAACTTCACGGCGTTTGTTGTTACAATATTTATGTCCGTAGAGCAAATATTCACAAGACTCAAAGGTTCCGGCATATTCGCGTCGGGTCACGTTCCGCGGTTGCACCACCGGCTTCAGGCAGCATCCGCTCACTGGTCCAGGGTCAGTTTCGACATTTGGTTTCCGGCAGTAGACTGTGATGAGAATGAAGAGAAGACTGATTCCAGATCAGTTGTTTTATATTGGGCTGGGTTTCAATCAAATAGACTTGTCGTCGTTAAAATGATGAACTTGTACCTATATTAAAAACTCAAAGTTTAGATGGATGTTATGATCTGAACACTGAGCCCCCCCCCCAATGAGGAGAAAGCTCTGGACCCCAAACAGGAAGTTCCGCCTCACAGCTTCCATTCTTCAGACGCCAACAATATCCGGTGACAAAACAAACCAGTGTTCTGCGGCTCTCATCGATTTAAACGACGGAGAGCGAACCAGCTTTACTCGGTATGATTTCTAACTCACTGTTTGAATCCCATCACATGTGGGCCACCCGCTCCGGTGGTGTCCACATGACGGCTGCTTGGGATGGGAAACTTTGTGTTTATGTTAGCAGGTTAGCCTTGAAGCTAGCTGCACTCCAGCGGTACAGTATTGTGTTATCACGCCGCAGCTGATCGAGCCTGACCTTTGACCGGCGGCTGTCACTGATATAAACACTGACTGGTGTAAATATTAACAACTAAACATGTCCTCTCTGTATTTCATCACAGGAAGAGGAGTCACCGGGGTTTCTCCTGAACTACAGACATCTTGTCTCCTCCACCATGACCGCTGCTGCTGTGAGAGGTAGCCATTGTTTCTCCTGTTTTCACATTCCACTAACGAGCCTTTCCATCTTTGACCTGATTTAAACATCTGCCTTCTCTGGTTTAAGATACATCCTCACAATTCATCTTGTCTCCACATTGTCTCTCTTTACCCTTAATCAAATCACATTCAATGATAGATGGATAGATAGTTTATTGATTCAGAGGGAAATGTGGGCATCCAGTATCACACAAAACAGTGAAATACAAGAGCACAAGAACAATAAAAGGTCAAAATGAGTAACGAATAAGTTCACTGCAGTGAGATGAAAGTCCAGCCAGCAGAACTACTACAAAGCTGTCGCTGTAAAGAAGTATGTGCTAATGGGGATTTTGACAATACAAATATTTTAAGTATAAGGATGGAAAGACACAAGTAACTGAGGCAGAGTATTGAAGCTAAATATAAAGACTGATAAGCAGGGGACTGACTTCTCATCCAGTCTGCACAGTTTCCCTCTTTAGCCTGAGATTAATGTGTTTAAATCTGTCTGGAGCTGCAAAGATTTACAGATTAGTCCATAATAAAGTAATTGGCTTTATTAACTTTAACTTTACTAACTTTACTATATTTGTTATAGCTTCATTGTATAATTTTTCAAATAAAATTGGCAGAACTTTCCTGATGAAGCCTTCTCAGGCGTATCAACTTGCTGCTGTTCCTTGTCTCATGATAGTAAACTGAATATCTCGGAACACTGGTTTTTCAAAACTGCTATTGGCCTGGGAGAGTGATTGATCAAGAAATGAACTATTATATTGATCGATAATAACACAGTTGTTACTTAGAACTGGTTCTAGACCAATCCAAATTTAGTTTCATTAAAACTGTACAATCATCTTTTTTTGGATCAGATTTTGTGACTGATGCTACAAAGAAAAAATACCATCTGTAATCATCCGTACAGCTGTGGCCCAATATGGTTTGAAACCATTTTACATTTTTGATGCTGACATAGCATGCAGCTATAGAGGGACTGTGGTGGTAATGCCTTGGCATCTGTTTGACACATTGTAGTTCTGGCTTGTGTGTAGAAGCCCATGCAGACTCAGGATGACCACAACACAATATATGACACATAAATCCCCTCAAATATGTACAACTCAATCCCATTTAATCCTTCTGTTACAGGAATGTTCACACACAGATTTGGAGCACTTCATAGTAGACCTCTCAGAATACATTTAGGAGTAAACATGGCCTTGTTTATTTCTTCCAGGTTCCGCCAGGGTGCCTGTCCGAGGCGCTGGCGATGGCATGGAAACTGAGAAACCACCGGCCATCCTGGAGGTGAAAACGGATACACTACCATCAAGTCCATCTGATGTTCCCCTTCTGAAGGTGGCAAGCCCAAAACACAGCCCGAAATCTGCCCACTCTGCTGCACCCCAGCCTCTCGGGGTGCTCCATCTGGGCAAGGTCAGTCGAGAGGCCTGCACAGAGGTGGAGGCCGTGAGAATCATCGTACCACGTTCTGCTATAAGCCGGAGCAGTCGCACAGGACCTGCTGAGGGTAAAGGGGACCCTGGGCAGCAGGCTGAGGAGCAGGGCTCTCCCCCGCTGCCTCTGGTGGAGGACTGGAGAGGACAGCTGGAGAAGCTGCAGAACTCTGAACGCAGGCTGCTGCAGGACAAGGAAGGGCTTTGCAATCAGCTCCGTGTGCAGACAGAGGTGAGGCTCCAATGAAACAGTTTAATTAAATTTAGATATGAGACAAGGTGGGCTCTGCACAGCCAGGTTTGTTGTCTCACATCTCAAAGCATGCAGCAGCGAGTATGGATAAGTAGAAGAGTACAGCACAGTCATGCTTCTCTCAACCAGATAAACCCACTGTGTTTTTGATAGTTCTTTTCATTAAATTAGTGCTTTAAATTAATATAAAATAAACTGTTCACTTCGTCTCATGTGTGTCTTCACCTGTTAAAGGAATTCGGTGTTTTTTTCATTCCAGGTGAATCGTGAGCTAAAGAGACTTCTGGTGGCGTCGGTGGGCGATGACCTACAATACCATTTTGAGCGACTGGCGCGGGAGAAGAACCAGCTGATTCTGGAGAACGAAGCTCTGGGCCGCTGCCTGGCTCACACTGCAGAGCAGCTGGAGCGAATGAGTATTCAGTGTGACGTTTGGAGGAGCAAGTTCCTGGCCAGCAGGTATTGAAGAGACAAAAGTTATTGTGGTACGAATAGAAACTGTTGAAAATGAAAAGACAAAGATGGAAAGTGATGGGAAGTTTTATTTGAAAGCATTTGTCAGTTTTTAAACAATCTTTATGTGTGTAGCTGAAGGACAACAAATTAAAAAAAAGTGTTGACATAATTAGTTATCATGCTGAATAAATACTTCAATCAATGTTGCCTCTTCAGAGTCATGGCAGAGGAGCTGACGAATGCCAGGGCAGCAATGCAAAGGCAGACCAGAGACGCACAAGGAGCAATTCAGGATCTGCTGTTGGAGCGAGAAGAGTTCTCCGGGGACATGGTTCTCACTCACAGGTAACACATCCACTGAACCATCACAGGTTACAGAAATCTTTGTTATGATAGCTCACAACTTAAAATTTCTCAAGATAAGGCAAGGAAAGAGCACCGAAACTCACTACAGTTGCCAGGAGGTGAATGTTGCTCGATTATATCCTTTGATTTGGACACCAGAGTTTTGTAGGTGCCACATTTCAAACTCTTAAATTCAACTTTTCACTTACGTTGTTTTAAAAATTAGAAATGAAGAGAATTGGGGGTGCTTGCTAGCTCACCTGTTAGCATTGGTTCCCCTTTAATGGGTGCTGTCCTATCAGTAAAGGCGACATGCCCCAAAATATATATATTTATTATATATTGCAAATTAATATGTTCACGGCCAAGCCACGGATAGTAAAGCATGAAAGAAACAGAGACGACTAATCTACTTATGTGAGCACAACCACAGCAGCCCTTTATTTCAGAATGATACTGTGTTAGTGAGGTATAAATGAAGAACCTTCAGTCACGATGACAGAGTCTAATGATGATTTATCTTCTGTGGTCAGATCTCTGGAGCAGCTCCTGGTGTCTCTGCAGTGGGGCCGACAGCAGACCTACTACCCCAGCGCACAGCCCCTCAGCACAAGAGAGCTGGCAGCAGCTAATCTCAAGCTAGCAGACGCCATCAACTCCCACCTACTGGGCAACACCAGTAACAGCAGCAACACCGTGGTGAAGAGCAGCAGCACAACAGCCGAGCAGCTGTGCAGCACGCCGGCCGAGAAGATGGCCGAAAAGGTATCAACTTTACATCCTTGTAAAATCTGACCATTTTCTAACATTAATCGTAAAACCCAAAGGTTCACAAAAGCGCTGTCTCTTCTCTGTCTAAGGTCTTGAAGATTTTAGATCCAATTTCCTGTCCAGAAAACCAGACTGAACCTCAACTGAGTGACTCCCCGTCAAACTTCCTCAACAACAAGAAGAGCATCGGCAGGTTTCACCCGTACACCCGCTATGAGAACATCACCTTCAACTGCTGCGAGCGCTGCTCAGGAGACATCCTGGTGCTGTAGAGGTCAAAGAGCGACAACACGACCTGACGCCAGCGCAGCATCAGAACTTATTTCAAACGGTCTGAAGAGGAGAGGACGCCGGAGGATCACGCTGCTTTTTGTTGAGTGACATGAAAAGTTGGCAGCTTTTTGCAACTTTGGTTGTTTTGCCCCTTTCAGTGAGTAGCAGCCCTGACGGTTGTATTTATATAACTTTAGAAAATGGTTTTTACATTTTATCCACCTGATGTTTATTTAGTTCTCTTTAAGAAAATGGAGTTTTGTTCATGTAGATTGCATTTCGGAGCCTGGTTTAAACCATGGAAAGACTTATTTCTGGAATGTGAGATCAAGATGAGTCAGTGTTACATGGTGAACAGACGTTAACGTGTCTGCTTCCTCTGACTTGTAAGTTTTAAATTTTATTCACTAATATGTTCTCAAGTCAAGTGTGAGTCTTTTGACGAGGAGAGTCCAACATACACTGTGCAAAGTTTGCCCCAGTTCCTCTGTGAGATGGTGCTTATTTCAACGACGTTGTATTTATGTATTTTGGATGTAAAGGGTCAGAATAGACATTCGACAGTTAGGAATCAAAAGGTACAACAGACATATTGTATCAGCATCATTTAAAAAAGGTCTTAATATTTTCAAATGCAGTTTGAAAGAAAAATTAGAAGCAACAATGTTCTGATATTTTTCCAGGTATTTCATTTGTTTTACTTGAATTGATGTTTCTATTTATTATAAAAACATGACTGTGTTTTTGCCTCAAGACAACAATGAAATGACGAATAATGTTGCATGTGCAATTTTTTAAAAACCGAGCTGTGGAATACTTTGGTTTACTTCATCTGTATAAATGATGGTGATGCTATAATTTTATCGTGAAAACACAAAAATGTTCATACATCATTTGTATATCAGATCAAAAATAAAGACCAAAGTAGTTTTGACTGTTTTTAAAATGTCTTGCTCTTATTGTCTTTATAACCCTGCAGTGGAACTCAGTCATTGCATCTATTACAACATTTTATTCACTTGTCATGTTTTTCATTACATTTCATCGACAGTGCTTTTCTCAAATGTCCTTATTACACCATGTTACAGATTCTAATAGATTCACTCATTATCCCACCACAACTTCCCGGCTGTTCTTCTTCGTTCCATGTTGCTGTTAAACGAACTCCGTACTTTGGTCACAGCTGCCTTGTTTTCTCTGTCACTGGACGCTCCAGCCATTCTGTCTCTGCCAGTGAACCTGGGCTCTTTGTGCGACCTGTAAAGACTCTGGTCCCCATTTTTAAATGTCCTTTCTCCAGATCTGAACAGTCTTTCTCCATCCTCTCTTGGTCCATGATTTGTGACTCCCCTGCCCTTGTTATGGAGAACCCCGTTATGCTGCCGCTGCTGCTGCTGGTGGAATCCATCGTGCTTTCTCTTAGGCACAAATTTCAACGCCTCCTCCCATTTCCCCGTTTCCTTGAGAGTTAGCATGATGCGGATCATCTGGTCCAGAGTCAGATTTTTGGCTCCTATCTCCCAGTGGAGGAACTCATCCAGCGGTAAACGGGCTGTGGCCAGCTTCAGGCGCTTTGCGTTGGCCAGCGACAAGCCCGACTGGATGGACCGGTCTACCAGAGCTCCAATGATGTAGACCTTGGAGTGGTCGAAGGTGCGGAGGACATTGGGGGAGTCTGCGGTGAGGTACACGAGCTGTTCCCGGGGGAACACATCGACATGCTGTCTGTCTGTGCTGGTGATGAGCAGGCGGTCCCAGGTCTCTGCACCATATCGTTTGAGCAGCTCCGTCTCGTAGGCCCCACCCGGCTGCAGGTTGCAGAAGTGGAGGTGGTAGGGCTCGATGGCACGCCGGTTCCACCCGTCCACCTCCATCAGCTGGGACACTGTGTTCTCCACCTCCCGCCTGGACATGTTGGAGTCGTAGCTCAAGTCAAACACCAGCGGCTGATTGAACAGCATGGCCTGGGCGCTCCTCCAGGCCAGCAGCTTGTCCAGGGAGCGGTTCCAGAACTTGAGGAGGAAGGTGTTTCTTATTTCGTCAGCATCACTGTCCTGTTCTCTCTTTCGCTCCAGCATGGCTTCCCTCTCCACCTTTCTCTGCTGCTGCTTCTCCTTGCGGCTCTTTTTGTAGCCCTCCTTGAGGGCCAGGAACTTCAGGTACTTCTTCCTGGCGGACTTGGTGGTGAGCTTCGCCAGCGTCTCCACCTCCTCATGCGTCATCTCTTCAGGTACCAGCTTCCCAGCTTGCCGCCACATCACGACCAGATCCCTGGTGGCCTCCAGGGAAGAACTCCCACCTTTTTCATCATCATCATCGTCGCTTCCATCCTCTTCATCGCAGACTTGTTGTCTCTCTTCTGATGCAGCTTTCGATCTCATCACAGATTTCCATTTGTCCAGATCTACTGTCTCCATGTCGTCTGACTTGTCTCCTTCAGGCTGCAGAGCATCTTTCCACACGGGGCTGCCGGTGCTGAGGAGGCGGACAGACACGGAGGCTCTGTGGTGACAGACTGGGAGAAAAGTTAAGAGCTTCTGTCGCTTGGTGACACAAGATGCCACAAACTGACTGCACCTGTAGACTTCATGGAAACCCTGGATACTGAAGAGCCGCAACATCGCGAGGAAAAGGAAATAAACACTTCCTCTATGAGTTGAATGACTTAAACGGAACACCGGAAGTTACGGAGGAAGCTCTGTTTCTTTTACATTTCATTTAAAAAAAAAAACTAAGTTAAAGCTGATTCGTGTTTCACGTCTTGAGTTTCCAGGAACGTCTCTTCACCTGGTCTGTGTCCATGCTTGTCAAAAATAAATGGAAGGTCACGTTGCCGCTCGGTGTCGCGCTATAATGTGTCGTAGTGAAATAAAACTCTTGGTGTTTTTGTATCCCTCTTACTGCAGCCAAACGGTAAACCAATATAAAATCCATATAGGTGTCATCATCTGTGAAACGTCACTCTAGTTTAAGCTCATGACAATAATAATAATAATTCTTATATATTTTTGTGTTTGCAGTAACAAGAATTAGCTTTTGTTTCCAGGTGGATGTTTTACAGTGTTGCACAGCGGTGGTGACGCAATTTCCTCTCGTTAACAGAATAAGACGCTTCGTTAGCTGCTAGCATGAGTTTGTTTTTGCCTAAATTAGCTTGTAAAAAAGACATAGATGAGGTTATTAAATGTGTGGCGGAGAAAGTCGTAGTTCTGAGGTTCGGCAGAGACGAAGACTCGATTTGTCTCCAGCTCGACGAGATTGTAAGAAGCGAAATTTGATGTAGAAAAAACAAAACAAAACCTGTGCTCCGAGTCGGTGTGTTTGTGCTAATGTGCTAATCTGTCGTGTCTGTCTTCTTGCAGTTGTCAAAAACTTCCCACGATCTCAGCAACATGGCGTCGATCTACATCGTCGATGTGGACAAAGCTCCGATCTACTCGAGATACTTTGACATCAGCTACATCCCCTCCACCGTGTTCTTCTTCAACGGGCAGCACATGAAGGTGGATTATGGGTCAGTGAGCTGCTCAATATTCGATTCTCTGGTCAGAATAAACCTGAAAAAGAGCGACGACTTCTACTCAATCCTTGTTTTTACTCGACTGATTCTTCTTCTCTTGATGCATTAGTCGATTGTCCATCTTGAATCCAAACTGACATATTTAAACTGCTTTGTCATTGGTGTATATTCATTATATGTAGACATTAATTAAAGCTGCAGAGAGTTTTACAAGTAACAATATATATATATTATTTCAATCATCAATGAATTTGCTGATCATTTATTTCTGATGAATCAGTAAGCTTCAGTGGGCGGATGTTGAAGGCTGGTGCTGGACAGAGGAAATCAAAGTTCATGTCACCAATCGCTGATGATGAAGAGAGGCAAAGACAAAGAAGCCTGAAAAATTTTAAACTATTGCTCTGTTTTCAAAATAGTTGCTTATTATTTTTCTGTTAATGGACTAATTTATTTATTAACTAAACATCTCATCTTTAATTTAAAGTCACGCTATCCAGCTACAATCAGTTTTTTTTGTCAAATTCACATCAAAACTTATAAACGTCAAATTACCACAGATGCAAAGCACTGTGATGAAACTTGAAAAGAGTAATTTACGTTTGGTTGATAATAATTTTGCTTTTTTCTCTCTCAGCTCCCCAGATCACACCAAATTTGTCGGCAGTTTTAAGACGAAGCAAGATTTCATGGATCTGATTGAAGTCATTTACAGAGGAGCCATGCGGGGAAAGATGATTGTTCAGAGTCCCATAGACCCTCGGAACATTCCCAAATATGATCTCCTCTATCACGGAATTTAAACTTAACACATCCACTGTGTGGCCTTACGATCATAATGTTTTGTTACAGAGAGGCATCTACTACTGCTGAGTGATTAAGTCAGAGAAACATCTTCAAATTTCAGATACAAAGCAGCTGCCTGAAGAAGCTTTCATCTCAAGTGTTTCAGATTAGGAGCCTTATTAAATATCTGCACTTTCCAACAGAAGCTAAACAGCACATGACCCCTTACTCTTCTCTGCTGTGTGGTTGTGAAGTTTCTGCACAGTATTAATGTCACTGTTCAACAGTAACATGAAGGTTCTTATGAGGTAAAGTGAAAGCTTGTAAACATGGATTTTAACAATGCGTCTTTCATTGTTTCAAAGAATTTTGGTCTTGCAAGGATACAAACAATTTCTGTGAAATGCAGAATGTAAACAGAAACTTTTTTATTACTTCTTTCAAACTTCACTGGACTCCTGTGTACACTCACATATAGGAATGTGACAATGTATTGGACGTTGTTTAAGATCCCATATTCAAATGAATCAACAGCAGGACAGTTTTATGGTTTTCTCATTAGTTCATGTTTTTTGGACAGTAAGTGAATTTAGATGAATGAATCCCTTTAGCTTTGTTCTAATTTAATCTTTTTTTTTAAGAAAAATGTCTTGTGGTATTTTGATATTTCCCATGGAAATCAGCTGTATATCAGCATAGACATACAATTGATTTATCCATGTAAATGCTATGCTGTGGCAATAAACTTTTATATATTACCTTGCACTAGAGTTTTTCTCATATCTTCCTGTAAACTGTTTATTTGGAGTTAATGTTTACAGTTTCTCTGTGTAAAGAGGAGCTCGTTTTGTCTGGATTGTGTTTACAGTCATCACATCGCTTTATCGTGCAAGCTCTAAGAAATGTGTTTTTCACTGAGGTTTAGCACAAAAACATTTAAAACACCTCTTCGTGCAGTGTCATAATGAGCACATGCACTAAAATTATAGTACAGATGACATCAACAGTTTTTAAAACAGTTTTGACGGTTAATAACTTTCATGCAGGTATGAATTAATATGTGAACTATTGACTTACAAATGAAAAGAAATACATAGATGCACAAATGATGTATTAAATTGCAGCCGGCTTCTTTGCACTTTATACTGTAGCGTCATAGAGATAAGGCTTTTATCGTGAAAAACGTTCGGACGGACAGGAAGTGACTCTTCTTCTGACGGAACACTGCCGGAAGTGGTGCAGCAGAAATGGCAGCGACCTTCCTCAGAGCGTGTTCGCATCAGTTTAGTTAATTCAGCGGATAAAATGTTCATGTATCGACCTGAGGAGGCGACGGTCCGGTGTGTGTAGAGTCCAGCTCAACACCAACATCATGATTTCACTCATCAAGGCCGCTGCGGGCGGATTAACCGGAGTCTGCAGAGCCTCCGGTCACCGACAAGGTAACGACACTGACACTGTCTGTGCTGAATTCACGTGATATAAAGACATAGAAGGAAACTTTGAAGATTATATTATAAGTTAACACATATACAAAGTAAAGAACAAATATCTGGTGCAGTATTTGCAATGCATGCAAAACTTGGATGGCAACTAAGTCATAAAGAGACATAACAACAACAACAATAATTATAATAAAAAATAAAGATAATAATGCTACACTTTATTTATTTATCAATTTTGAAAATACTTGTTTACAAAGTGCTTCACCGACATATAAACAGATATCTCATTAGGGTTAAAGCTTAACACCAAGTAACTATTTCTAACGTGGAGGCAGAAGAACATCAGTCCCTATAGATGAGTTTCTAACAAACAGCCTCATGAGGCTGAAAAACACATTACGACATATTCCAATAAATCAGAAAACTAGAAGTCCAAACAATTCTAAACACGATTGTCTAAATCTTATAGTAGAAATAGAACAGAAAAAAGTAAGCGATCTGATCATCCAAATGATTTATTTGTGTTGGCTTGTAATATAAACTGAGCTAAATAAGCATTAACATAAGATCATTCTGTATTTGGCTACTTTTTCCAAACATCATGTCAATGCTGTTCTTTATTCCACAGGTCCTTTGTTCAGCCACTTGAAAGTCCTGGCTGCTGGCCTCAAGACGTATGAGATCCCTCCAGACTACAGTGGTAATTATTCATCATCTTATCATTTATTTGATTTTGGATTTTTTGGAATCTCAGTATTGTTGTTCTCATGTTTCCTTGTTTTGTTTTTACCTGTGAAGATGTGGTGCTGCCTGAGAAACCTAAACTGAAGTTCATGAACAAGGTGCCCAACCTAAAAAAGGCCAAAAAAGAGATGAAGAAGCTACGTGATATCCAAGGACCGACGAGGGGAGGAAATACCTTCACTACAGGACAGTACGCTATCGTGGTGAGTCCATTTATTCTCTGAAAACACTGTTGTCTGGTGAAATGTGAAAGCTGCTTGAAGCATTTAAGTCTTTGAAAAGTATCTATCTTTAACTGATTCATTCATTCAACTGAAATGTTCCTCTTCCTCTATCTCTCTCTGATGTTTAGGCTATGGGTGGGGGTTACCTACACTGGGGTCACATAGAGATGATCCGTCTAACCATCAACCGCAAGATGGATTCCCGGACTACATTTGCCCGGTGGCGCATCAATGGTCCATACAAGCCCATCACACGCAAAGGTCTGGGTCAGCGCATGGGTGGAGGAAAGGGGGCCATCGACCACTACGTGACGCCTGTGCGTTACGGTCGTTTAATCGTGGAGGTGGGAGGAAAAGTGGAGCTGGGGGAGGTTCAGCATATCTTGATTGAGGTGGCAAAGAAGCTGCCTTTCCCTGCCAAGGTGAGAAAACAAATACACTATCTACATTGCCATTTTCTATATCAACAAATGTAATGTGTTCTGAAAGAGGTTCACTTATTTTCATTTGATTACAAACATCTAGAATATATAATTTATTTCTTTTGAACACTGTAATTGTAATTAATTTCTGCGTTAAAATGTTTTATTATTGTTTGTTTTTCCAGGTCATGAGCAGAGAGAGTCTAGCAGATCTGCAGCAGAAGCAGGTTGATATGGAGCAGAACAACCAGAACCCCTGGACCTTTAAGCAGATAGTGCAGGGCAACATGCTGGGGATCAGGAAGGTGCTCAGCCCCTTTGACCTGCACAACCATGGACGCTTCACAGGCAAATTTCACATCCCGGGGAGGGTGTGACAGACGTGAGGGACTAGAATCATTGTCACACAATCCAGACAACACTGTTGAAGAAGGAGTCTACATTTTGGAAACCTGACTTTCTGTACATTTGGAAAACTTTTCTTCCATATTTTCTTTGTTTTTACAGCCTCAATGATACTTTTTGTTAAACAGAGGCGTTTTCCATTTTTCTGCTTTGAAAAAACAGATAAAATATGTATTTCAGTTGCACATGTTGACTCAAGTATTGTGACGATGTTGGATTTGTGTTTGTTTGACTGACCAGCTAAAGTGACAACAATAAAAAACAAAATAAATTGAAAGCATTTACTTCTGTGTACACTAAAACTCTGAAGGAACGATAGATTTCATTGAATGAGAGAGATGCTTCTCATCCTGCTACATGTAGCAACAGTTGTCAGGGTTACACGTGTATGTGCTCTGTGATTTGTTGCATAAAAGTAAAACACAATGTTGCATTCTGAGACAGTTTGAAAATGTTATATGAACATTTTCAGTTTAAAAATTTTGATTTCAAAGAAAAGGAATTGTAAAGAACCGTGAATATGATGGTATTGAAATCCTTAAGCCACTGATATCAAAGTTGAGTCATATATGAGCAGAGAGCTCCAGGGTTA